TAATTTCAAATGCAAAAGAATTCAAGTTACGTTCTGATTTTGAATATTTATTGGTTTATAGTTTATTGGCATTTACTATATATTTGCCTGGTATGATGTTAATCAAAATTATTTAAAATTTTAAATTAAGTAGGTAGGAGTATCTAAATAAAACATTGTCCTAAAAATACATAATTTTTTAATTAAAAATTACAAACAAACATGGTAAATTTGAATTTGTCTTGTATCATTTCAAGAAAAACATTTCAAAACTTTGTTATGAATACATTGAAGTCAACGTTTTAGGCAACCAACGAATAAAGATGATACTAAATTGTGCTCATTCCGTTTTTGATTTATAATTATTTTACTTTTATTTTTTCGTTACTTCGTCTCATATCGCAGCTCGTACCTGTATGATGCGGAGAATCACCCAAGCCAAGCAGCGAATAAATGTCAGTAAAATGAGTAAAATGTCGCCTAACAAAATACAAAACATTTGTTTACATTTTGAGTTTAACGAGTTTTAATTTGATATTTTATTCAATGTTTTATAAGTAACTGTGATTAGAAAATTATATACATTTTATAATAACAGAAAAAAAAAAGGAAATAGTGGGTATTTCAATTTGATGGAAAAATTAGATAAATAGGAATGCCAGTTCTATTTGTTGAAACGATTTAAGCACCTATTATTACCTACCTACCCACCCACAAAACATATTTAGGAGGAACTGTAGTTAAAGAAGAGCTTATTAAAAATTCAGAATTTTGGCAGGTACAAAAAATAATGTTTATTTTTATACTTCTTCATAGGTATAGTTTTATTATTTTATTTGTAATATTTTTTCTCAAAATTAAACTACAAGATTATCATTAGTTGTTGTATGGATTTTCTAATTAATAAAGGTTCTTTCTTCAGGTAAAATGTAGCACAGTTCTGAAGTATATTATAGGATATGTTTGCAGACAAGTGTTTCGAAATCAAATGGACAAGGATCATAACTATACGAATTTTGTCCCCACTAACAAGATGTTATATTCAACAGTGGAAAGTGTAAACTTGTTGGCAACAGATCATTAAATATATGTGGAAGTCTAAGAAAGTGTAATGGTACCAGATTTTATTATAATAATGCTTTTTATCATTCTCCTGTTTTTTTTTTTTATTGAAATAATGTGTCTCGACATCAGAGGCCATTGACACATATAGAGTAGAATTATAAAATTATGTTCTTATAATTACAGGGTGTGGATAACATTTAATGTCAAGATTGGAACTAATTAAATTTTGGAACTTAAGTTAATGTCTTTTAAATATTTAAGAACTTTATGGATTTGGTCCGCTGAATTGAGAATTTCTGGCAAGGTGTTCAGAAGTTCAAACTGTCTTCGTTTGACTGAGTACTGCTGACATTCAGTGAGAAGGTGTTTGACCGATAAGGTGATGTTGCAGTGATGACATATTCGGGGAGGTTCTGACGTCATTAGGTGGCTGTGAGTAAGATTGGTATGTCCAATTCGTAGTCTTCGAATAGCTATTTTATCGTTTCTTGGTAATGAAGGGAGGAAAAACGGCTTGACGGATTGGCGGATCTCATGTAGCTTCGAAGGTATTCTGGTCCAGTGTTCTTGCCATGATGAGTAGGTCTTAGATTTAAAGAAGTTTTGTAGATCTTTAGACAGTTGAACTCCATCGATTGGAAGATTGGATGTTGATGCTTCTTTTGCTGCACAGTCTGCCAGTTCGTTTCCTGTGATGCCAACATGTGAGGGAACCCACAATAAAGTTACGATTGGTCCTTCAGAGGAAAGCTGTTGGTAGCGTTCATGTACGGCTTGTACAAGTGGGTGAGAGCTGTATATGTTTTGAATTGATTTGATCGAGGCAAGAGAGTCTGTGCATATTGCAAATTTTTTGTTAATTTGGGATACAGAGTTGAAAGCTTGAAGTATAGCAAATAGTTCTCCTGTGTGAACACTGGAGAAAGGTGGAAGTATATTTGTGGTGACAATTGTATGAGAGAGAGAGAGTAACTGAGCATCCTACTGCATTATTGTTTTTAGACGCGTCGGTATATAATACTTTATCAAATTTTGAGTTATAGATAATGTCCAAGAAGTTTTGTCTTAGGAGCTCGGTGGAGGTGTCATGTTTGGAGTATTTGCTTAAGCTTAGGTTGATTTTCGGTAAATTTTTATTCCAGGGGGGAGTGTAGGAACGTGTGATAGGTGTAGTTTGTTTGAGATCTATATTGGAAAGAAGTGGTAGCAAGCAATGGTTGACTGGTTAAATTTTTCTGGAAGTCTGGGAGTTTGAGTTCTGCTTGTGTATGACTTTATAGGCTGGATTTAGCGGATTTGCGGAAACTCTGGAACAGTGTGTCAAGAGAAGTTGTTGTCTTCTAATCCAGAGAGGGGGCTCATTGGCTTCGCAACATAAGCTATCCACTGGGCTTGACCGAAACGCTCCCAAGCAAATGGGTAAAGCTGAATTTTGTACAGTGTTAAGAATCTTTAAATCTGTTTTAGTAGCTGACATGTAGAGAGTGCTACCGTAGTCGATTCTGGAACGGATAAGTGCTCTATAGACTCTCAGCAGTATTTGCTCTTCAGCTCCCCATTGGCGGTGTGAAAGACTTTTTAGGATGTTAAGCCTACCTAGACAGTTGTCCTTAATCTGTTTAATGTGCTCTTTCCAGCTGAGCTTTTTATCGAAGACGATCCCTAGAATTACAATTTGGTCGGCGGAGGGAATGCTAATATTGTTTAACGTGATATTTGGAGTAAACTGATTATTTCTTCTTCTGGAGAACTTAATGACTTTGGACTTTGTAGCAGAGAAGTGGAAGCCTGTTGTGGTAGACCATTCGTGAAGAGCGTCAACTGTTTTTTGAATAATGTGGGCTGTAGTGATGGTATTCCTTCCGTGGCAAAAGATGAACAGATCGTCAGCATAAAGAGCAAACCCCGTAGAAGGTTGAATTATTTTGCAAACCTCGTTGATGGAAAGGATGAACAGTGTTGGGCTCAACACCGATCCTTGAGGTAAGCCATTTTCCTGAGTTAGTGTGTTAGACATCTTTCCATTGGCTGTAACTCTGAAGCGTCGTTCTGTTATAAAATTTTTAATGAAAGAGAACATGTTTCCTTTGATGTGGATATCTGCCAAAGTTTTCAGTATAACTGAGTGTGGGAGGGAATCAAATGCACCCTCTATGTCAAATGTTGCTGCTATGACTTCTTGGTTTTCATTAAAGGCATTAATTATGTGTGTCTGAAGTACCAGTAAGTTGTCTACAGTGCAGCATTGAGGTCTAAATCCCGATTGAGCAGAAGAGAGAATGTTATGTTTTTCCAGGTACCACATGAGCCGCTTAGAAACCATCTTCTCCAGTAGTTTGCACAGGTTACATGTTAATGCGATAGGCCTGTAGGAGTTAGGATTGCTAGGATCTTTGCCAGGTTTTTTGATGGGAAGTATCACTGATTCCTGCCACACTTTAGGGAAGTTTCTTTTGGTCCAGATGAAATTGTAAAGATCTAAAAGTTTGTAAAGGCTATTGGAGGATATATTTTTAAGGAAAATGGAAGGAATATTGTCGGGTCCTGCAGCGGAGACTTTGGTGGATGACAGAGCTACAGAAAGTTCTTGAAAAGTGAGGAGAGAATTTAGAGCATCTAGGTCATGACCGATATTGGGAGGCATGGGATGGCTGAGTGTGTCAAAGCTGTAAGGATCAACTTGGTTTGTATTTTTAGATTTATCTAGCAGGGAAGAAGCTAAAATATTAACTATTTCTTGACTGTCTGTGACGATATGGTCTTGTTGACTAATTGCTGATATTTTGTGAAGGTCCTTTTTCCCTGCATTTGTCTAATTTTAGTCCAAACCTGGTTTGGAGGAGTGTCAGGTGTTATGGACGTATCGTAGCTATTCCAACTGTCTTTTTTACTTTGCTTTATTATTTTTTTGGTCCTGGCTCTAAGTTTTTTGAACTCAATGAAGTCATTTTCGTTCCTTGTTCTCCTAAATCTGTTTAATGCCGTTTTACTTTCTCGCATCGCAGATTTACAATTTTCATTCCACCAGGGAACAATTTTACGTGAAGGAGATATCACAGTTTTTCCGACGTGTTGTTCAGCAGCGTAATAATACAGGAATTAAAAGCGGAGACGGCTGCGTCAGTATTTTCTGGAAAATTTAACTCATCAGTTTGATTTTCTACACATGATCTGAAGGCGTCCCAGTTGGCATGAGTTATTTTCCACTTCCTTATATTTTCAGATGGTTTGTCAGCGTTGTCAGTAATGAAGATAGGAAAATGATTGCTATCATGGAGATCATCTAATGGGTTCCATGTGAGTAGGGGAAATATTTGTGGGTCACAGAAACTGAGGTCAATTGCGGAGAATGTGTGAGATGAAAGGTTGAAGTGAGTGCTTGAGCCATTGTTTAGGAGACAAAGGTCTGCGTTTTTATATACGTTTTCGATGATTTTTCCTTTGCCGAATGTTTTGTGTGAGCCCCATAAGGAGTTGTGGGCATTGAAGTCACCAGTAATAATGAAAGGGGGGGTTAGCTGAGAGAAAAGATTTATTAGTTCGGCTTCGGAAACTGAGGAATTCGGCGAAATATAATTACTGCAAACAGTAATTTTAAATGGACACCATACAGAAGCTGCTACTGCTTCTAAAGATGTATTTAAGATATGAGCTGACGAATAGAAGTAATTTGAAACAAATACAGATGTTCCGCCACTGGCTCTTTGACATTCAGTCCTGATATGGTGGTAACCTTCGAAGCCTTTAAGGTGACGTTTGTGAGATTCGGTAAAGTTGGTTTCTTGTAGGCATATAATATTAGCATTTAGAGTATGGATTAATTGTTGGATTCGTTCAAGGCGAGGATAGAATCCAACGCAATTCCACTGAATGAGAGAGAAAGTTAAAATGAAGATTTTTGTGATAGTTGGGAGTTATCTGAAAGAACGTCGTCGTCAGGAGGGTCAAGAGATGACTGAGATGCTAGACTTTCAGCGTCTGATTCCTCTATTTTTAGTTCTCTTCTTAACTTTTTGCTAAGTCTTGTTAATCGGATCTTAATGGATCTTTCATCTAAGGAAGGATAGATGGTGTATAAATCGGAAAGTAATGATTGAACATCTGTAGTGAACCGTTGAGCTTCTGATAGGGGACTGGAGCTGCCAAAAGAGTTTTCGAGAAACGCTATGAAGTTTTGGGCTGTAATAGTAAATGTATCTTGTGATTTACTGTAGATGTCTAAAATAAGTTTCTTTGTGGATTCTGACAGCTTAAAATCTTCAGATGTGTCCTTTTTCCTCTTCTTTGTGATAGGTTTGGGAGTTGTTTCTGAGCGTGGATCCGGAGGAGGCATGATACCTGGATTAGTTAGAGTATTTGAAAGATCCTCGGGAAGAGGAATGCTCTCATTTGAATCTGCTGAGCTGGGACAGGTTCTTTTTTGTGCGGGTGTTGGATGAATCTGAGTTTTGGATGTAGTTGCTTCAATGGAATTTGGAGAGGGGGCTGCGAGTTCTGTTTGAGTGAGAGTTAATTCTGATTCAGCTGGCTTAGGTGGGTGTAAAGAGGGGGGTATGGCAGGGAAAGGGGCAGTTGTTTGGGAAGGGGGGATTGGTTGAGCGGTTGGACAAAGGCTTGCAATATGGCCAGATTGCTTACAGAGGAAGCATTCCATTTTATCAGTGGACAGGAAAATTCTGTGAGCATTATTCTCAAAGGCGATAACTAGCGAAGTTTGGAGTTCGTAGTCATCTGAAGGTGGAACAATATATACTTGTCTTCTGAACGAGAGAATGTGGCTGTATTCATCTCCTGGGATTCCAGCTCTCAGAAAAGATATTTGTGAAGTAAGTTGTAAACCGTAGTTTTCTAGAGCTGCCCGGATTAACTCGTGAGGGATAGAAGGGCACACATTTGAAATCAAAACCCTCTTTGCTGGTGTTACTAACCGTCTTATAGCTAGGTCCAAACCACCGATGTGAATGATGGGATTATTTTTAATTAAATGGTCCACTAGTTCAATTTTATTTAGGTATATGCAAATTCTGTTGTTGGATATTCTAGATGCGAAACTGATATTCTTTGGACCTACAATGTCTCCGATTGATTTAACATAATCGACCAGTTTTAGATTATCTTCTGTGTGAAAAACTATAGCTTGCTCTTTCTTTTGAAAAGACGGTTTTGGAATTGACTTGGCAGCGGCTACATATGAACTAGGAGATGCATAATTATTTCCTAAATTTGGGGTGTCATTTGCTGTAGAAGAACTCATTGTGATGCCCTTGTAGTCAAAAGCAACAGATGTGTTATTGGTTAAAGTTTTGTTGGCTTAGGAAGAAGGCAACCAGCCATACGGTATAGTGTAGAACTGGTTGCCGAAATAAAATTCTAGAAACAGCGATATCCTAAGTACTGGTTTTATTCTCGTTATCGTTATCACTATCAGATGTAGATAAAGGATACAAAAAACTTATATACAGAACTGTTATTATTTGCATGTAACGCAATTAGTGGAGCTAACACATCACCAGTCACCGAAAGCACAAAATGTTGCGATGCACGATGTTTAGTTTATTCGTCAGTGCGAAAATTATTAATAAACAGTTAGTACATTCGCGGTGAAAGACAACATTTATCGCGGCGATACAGAACGAACTTAACTCGTTCAGGTCACAATCGCGAATCCCTGTTTTTATTTTTTGTAGATAATTGTTGCAATAAATTCCACATTGTGTATCAGTCGTCTTTGGTCTTCTCGAAAACATTTTTTTATACAATATAAAGCAGATGGTATATTTTTTTGAGACATCCTTTAAGTCTTTTGAATATTAAATGTTTATTTTCAGGTAAGATAATATCTATCTTAATTTTGTATGATCATTTATAGTATAGACAAATAAAAATGATTAAGGCTTTTCATAAAAAAGGTGATTCGTAACTTTGTGTCAGCAAAAGGATTTCCTACATGCAATTCAATATATTTTTTTATAAACCAATAAAAGGTCTTTAGTGTGATTGCTAGATTATATTTTTATTAAATCAGCGGTACATATTATGTTCCGGAATAAAATTACATCTTTTGGTTCAGTCACAGCTTTTTAAAATTTAAAAAAACATTTAGGGACATAACAAACACTTTAAAATGATCATGGACAAAACCCATATATTTATTTGTGATAGTGTGTAGGTACCAGTGGCGGTTAAATAGCTTACAACTAGTTGCTTAAATTAAAATAAATGTTTGACAAATCTTTTGCACATTCACAGATTTAATATGTGTCAATGTAGTTATAATCTTTGCAGTCTATTTTATAAACTACATTTAGTTGATTTGTTTTCTTGAGTTTGGGTTTAAAATTTGAAAATAACGTTTTCCTTGTATCCTTTCGTTTACGAGCAATTATATCTAGAGAACATTTTTGACACTTGTTTGGAAAGTCCTTTTACATACATATAGCAATTTAATGTTTAAAACGGGTGCCGAAACAAATGTTACAGTGATAACACTATATGATTTTGTCTATTTAAGTACCAAGCTATTTATTTAAAATAATAAAAGAAGTTATTTTTTTAGGTTCAATATTGACATTTTTTAGAGCCACAAAAACGGAATAAACACCACAAATTCTGGACATATTCAGATGGGAATAGCACTTTTAAATATTGTAACGGTTACTCTTCTAGTACTGTTATTTTTTAATATTTTATAACTTTAAAATGATTGTCCCATCTCTATTAGGACCGATAGTTTCATTCTTTCGCTACAAATATTTTATATAGTTATTTTTTGTTTTTTATAAGTTGTATGTTCGGATCGAAAGTGAATTTCGACAGGTATTACTTGAAAGAGTCTTTTACAATAATACCTCAGAACGAGGCAGTCGAGATTATTAAATCTGCTAATATTTAAGTAATATTAAACAGTATGTGGTATTTTTATTAGTGGTGAGAACCATCAGTATTTCATGGTGAGTAAAAGATTAATATTTACAAGATTTCTGCAAAGATTAACGAAATGGATCGGGGTTTATTTAGTTGTTTAAAATGTGAGGTTAGATGTTTTAGAACGTGTTATTAATTTCTGTAAAGATCTATTTTTTATTCATTCTGTGTTCAGAAACATCTTACCTCCTTGTTCCTTATTTTTCCTTATTACGTAAACTTCAAAAAGGTCTCAATCTTTTAGATAAGTCAACCTTTGGATGGTTTTTTACAACTACGCTGAGAACATAGTTTAAAATATTTTTTTTAAACAAACGCTGAGAAGACAGTTGGAAATATGTTAATTTATGGTTAGAAGACAGTTGAAGTTATAGTTACAAATATGTTGATTTATGGTTAGAAGATAGTTGAAGTTATGGTTACAAACATGTTAATTTATATTTAGAAGAAGACGCATCGCTGTAGGAGACCGTCCTTATTTGAGAAAGATTGAAGACCTACACCATTCCTACTTTGAGATAAGTTTCATTTTTATCTTCGAAAAATTAAATAAAGAAGTAATTTAAATGAATCATGGCTTGTGTAGATTGTAATTGTTACTTGCCTGCATAAACATATACATTCTGTTTTAACATCAGTCATATTAATTATATTTGCCAAACTATTATAATTCACTTTAAATGATATGTTTATGTAAGTTTGGTGGCGCCCTCCATACCTTTCCTATAGTTAAGTTTTGTCAAGGTTGGTAAGTGCTACTCATGGCCCTAATTAAAATTGAGCTAAAACACGGTAAGTAAAACCAACATCACTTGTTACAAAATATTTTGTAGTTTTAAATGATAATTAACAATTGTAAATGGTTTATTTTTAAATAAATAAAATTTACTTGAATATTTAGTTACATTTACATTTTGATTAGAAATTCATCACTATTTAGTTAAAAAAAAATCAGAAATAGAACATCCAAAAAGCGATGTTGACCAATTTATAATATTGCGGAAAAAATGTTACCACATTCCTGAGGCTTAAATATAAGGATTTAACCCAACTTACATCAGTCCAAAAGTGGATGATTTCGGAAATACAGAGTGTTAAAAGTTCAATTTAGTTGTTCATGAATATTTTTTTTTAATAATTAGTGTATTTTCAAAATGTTTGGCTTAGAGGGATTGCCGAATTAGGTGTAAGAGTTGATATTGCTTCATATTTAAATAAATTAAATATTTTTAGTTTGTAACTACAAAAATTTAAAGCTGCTCTCATTTTTATTGTAAAATTTAAAGGAAGCCCTTTTATAAATCCAGATATCTCAAAAACAGCTCCTCAATTCTACTCTTACCACTTATACCTTGCAGAACAAGAATTTTTATTTAAAAGTTAAATACAGAGTGGCTTAAAAAGTAATCATTTTAAATGTGTGTAAGGTAACACCCTTTAAATTTTACAATAAAAATGACAGCAGTTGTAATTTTTGTATACTACACTGTAGTTTTGTATTTTTTTTTTTAAATATAAGTTAGAAAAACAACATATGAATAGTAGTATCTTTATTTTGTAAATTTGCTATATTTCAATTATTAATAAAGTTGAAAAAAAAAATAGGAAAATGCATAAGAAGTGCCTATAAAACATAAATGAAAAGACAAAGTAGATCTTGACATTTACATTGAAACAGAAACAAAAAAAAAGTACTCAATATGTTATTCTACATAAGAAGATTCGTAGTGTTTTTAGCTGCCACCTCATTTATTTGTGCCTCTATAAATTCTATGGGATTTAACTAGCAGTGATATGAGACAGCCACTACACAACTTTATTGGTTTCTTTAGCCATTTCATCGACAACATACAAATTATGTGCATCTTTATGTTGTCAAATTAGGTGTAAAAGTTGATCACTTCATATTTAAATAAATTTAATATTTTTAGTTTGTAACCACTCCTGCATTTCAGATTTTCTTGATGACAAAGGAATTTTTTCAACTTTTCGACTATGATATGATACATTTTCCATCACAAACATAGCATTATTAGGAAACTTTGTAAAAAAGTAGAAAACCAATTCTAAAATACTTCCTTCATGGTAAATGCATTTTCAGAATTAGCATGTATAACATTAAAGCATCTTCACTTTCTTGTAAGGCTTTTCAGGCCCATGGATAAACCTTATGACCTTCATCTAAGTAAAAGCTTGGCATGTTTTCTTTTCTACATTGTTTGATGGATTTTAAATCTACAGATATAGCATTCTATCAATACACTTTGACAATTTCTTTTCAAATATCTAAAATAATATACATAATGAATTTGAAAAAGAAATCTTGTACTATCTTCGAATAGCATTTACCTCTCATCAAATGTTTTTAGAAGTCCTCGTCTTCCATAAATACTTTTTGGACTAGATATTGTTCCATTATTGCAGTATTATTTTAATAATCGGTAAGTAGTTGACTTTGCAATAACTGTAAGAAAAATGTTGAGTAATATTATTTTTAATTTGAAAGTAATTAGTAAAACTTACCGGTGGCTTGAGAAATTTTGGATATAACATCAACAATTTTGGTTGTTGTATTATTATCCAAAACCTATTTGTACATATTTATTATTTACTGCTTTTCTGAGTGACCTGAATGGCCTTAACTCATTCGTTTTCGTTGTTTTGATGGACTCCGCGAGGAAATGCTATAATAGAATTCGATGTAGAAGGACCCATAATCGTAGAAGTTTCGTTACAATTGCTTACTAAAGTTTTGTAAAAAACTGTTATTAAAGAAATAAAATAAAAACTTAAGTAATAATGATGAGATATCAAAGCAATAACAAAACTTAAAATATAAAATGTAAGAATAGAGCTGTCAACAATAACAATTATCAGCTAAAAAGTAATGTGTGAAACTGACTGTAATCTGACCAATCAGCAGTCTACAGAATTGCCAACTTAACTTCAAATCGCTCCTCTTAGTTTAAAAACAGAGTATAGTACCTTTGTAGTACTAGCCGGATAACTCGTTACACTGCCCCCTTCCTTAGATTAATTTTCTTTCTTTTTCACGGTGTACGGAACTACCCAGTTCCTTTGTAATTTAGGACATAGACCTCGTTTTCTTCGTGGATTATACAGCCAGACGAAATCTCCCTCCTGGTAGCTGGTCTCTTCTGTTCTTTTGTCGTAATGCCTCTTCATACAATCACTAGCTAACTGCAAATTGGTACGGACTAATTCGTAAATATCTTCCATCTTCTTTCGAAGATCACAGACATAGTCTTCTCCAGCCGTGTCATCACCAGGCTACACAACCAAATACCAAGTCACATGGCAATCTCAAAT